TTAGCCTAGTCAGTGACCTTTACTAATTTTTTTGTGTTCCAATCACCTGAAGTTGATTAGATTTCAAAGACAGCTAAGGACAGGATTGAATATTCATAGAATCACGGAATGGACTGAGTTGGAAAGGACCTTAAAATCATCTAGTTCCAAGCCCCTGCCAGGGCAGGGATGCCTCACACTAGACCAGGTTGCCCAAGGCTGTGTATTAAAATTATTTGGGTCTGCATTGAATGCTAAGAAATCCTCTCTATGGGATTGCTGTTCTCAGTATACCTCTTTGTAACAACTTCTTGAAGACTTAATCTTACACAACTGACTGCTCTTTGCCTTGTATGTTCACAATAAGCAGAACAAAAAAAATCTGGCCAGTATGGATGGAGAGCTGCACTAGGGTTGGTCTTGCGGCCACCAGCTGCTCAAATGAGATGAGACTGCTCATCCCAAAATCCAGCTGAAGAAGAAAGTGCCAAATCATAACTGTTGCATGACCCCAAGTGAAAAAAAAATCTTCACCAACATTCAGAGCTTCAATAAAAATCAGTAAATCCATATTTGCACCCGTTTTGCTTCTTAGAACTTTCTGAAGTGAACCAAAGCACCCTGTATTACATTGTTATTTGATTTTGATTCAATTTTGAATTAAATGTAAAAAAAAAAACCAGGTCTTCACAGTATTCCAGTGCACTTGAAAGTTTAGAATCTCGTTTCTACTGGTCATTGAACAGATGAATCATATTACATGTGATGTGGTTTTCTCCTTTGGGCTTACTCTATAGAAGAGCAAGAAGGGATGCAGGGGAGAAATATTTAGAATATGGTGGCCGCAAAGGGAGTTTTCTGCCTCTCTCCTCTCACGCTGCTGTTAATCTATGGCAGCAAACAGCCCTTGCTAGATTCCCTGCCATCCTCCTTGGTATTTTTAGCTGATGCTGAGGCTCCATAAGGTTAGGTACTCCCAGTCTATTTGACAAGAACAAAGACCAAACCAGATGGCTCTCACCTGCTGTTCCCCAGTGACAAGCACAACTTAAAAATATTGCAATGTAATATACTGGCCATATGTTTTAGTGTATTGTCCATACAAACAAGTCTCTTTTGTACACAGTGAGATGCCTGATTTATTTTAAACTGTGAAAGCAAATGCTCTGGTCCCACTTCCTTTTGTTCTTTTTTTTTTCCTTGCAGATGTTATGTATAATGGAGAAATGAATGAAAAGATAAAGTTACTATATAAGCTGCATATCCCACCGGGTAAGAATTCTAACAGGGAAGGAATACCTCAGTTTCCAAAAGATAAACTCTTGCTTAAAGCTTTTGGGAAAAGGCTGCATAATGAAGAACTCCATCTTGCTTCCTTCAGCTGGGAGCATATAGGATGTGCATCTGTAATTTGCATTATAAAAATTACTCCAGTCAAAACCATTTTGGATTAAATTTATAGCTATATAATGTCAAGGCTCACATCTGCTGCCTTCAGAGATAATTTGCAGCCAATTATACTGCTACTTCCAGACAAAATGTGAGCTGAAGGAGTGTTTTTGGGTGGCTTTGTACTCTGTATACAGTAGATCTCTGTCACATCTTGATCCAGCTTTGATGAGGTGACAAAATTCTGCAGTAGTTTCTCTGTGCAAAGTTTTTAATTAAATGTACCACTCTTGGCAAACTTCCGACTCTTGCTGCAGCGCCAGTCTGTCTTACTTACAGTAACACAACCTTACGGTAGGATTTAATGAAGTACTGTTTAAAAACATCCTGGCCCAATTACTTTGTTTTCTTCAAATATTTAAATTAAATAAATAAATCATTACACAGCATTTGAAGAATTAATCATTACTTTTATCACTTGTTTTTTGATAGCTCTCACAGAGAATGAACGAGACAGCCAGTCACCACTGAAGAATCCTTTGCTGTCGACTTCAAGACCACTAGTTATTGGAAAATCAAACGGTATGTGTCCAGAATGGTTTCCTAATGCGTGTGCATATGAGAACCAACTTCCCATTTGCTAACCCTGTATCATCTCTGTTGTCTGAGGTTTATGCTGAAATATCAATTTACTCCAATGACTTGAAAACTAATTCTTTTTTTTGTCTGCTCCAAAAAAGGTGATGCAGTAGATTACCAGAAGCAATTGAAGCAGATGCTGAAGGATCTCGCCAAAGAAAAAGATACTAAAACTGAAAAAGAATTGCCAAAAATGAGCCAGGTATGTGTCTTAGATGCTTTAGTTTGTTTTTAAAGAAATGGAGAGCACTCAAAAATGCAGTGACAGAATACAACAGTTCAGCTCTGAGAAAGAGTAACTTCAGCCTGAGCTTAGACTCAGTCCTTTAGATTTAGAGAACTGGGCTCCTCTCATCCAGAGAGCAGGTGTTTAAGGACTCTGAGCTACCTTTCTAGCCGCTCCCTCTCCTCAGGCTGGCTGGTGAATAGACAGAATTTCACTGACCCACAGCATAACAGGCTGGAAAAAGCCCTCCTCCTAAGGCCAAAGAATTCCCAAGAATGATTACTGCTGTTCTGTCTTTCCTGGCCTCCTCTCCACCAGACTGCTGTAACTTCTTTCTTAGCCCACTACCAACTGGGCGTTGGCCTGTCTTAGCCAAACACTAACTAGAAATGCATGAAGAGAAACAGCTGAAGGCTCTCATCATCTTACCATCTCCTCCCTAATGCTAGTAGAGCTCTGTGTATCCTGTTGGCCTAAGGAAATCTGCAGAGAAAAGGGTCCTGAATTAGTAAAACAAATGTACAGACATGCAAAGAAAGATGGGACTATACCCAGAACCCCTTTGTGCTGGTGTTGCTAAATAAAGTTTTAAATGGATGTCACGTATCTACGCTATCAGCTCAGCAGGGACACATATCTCTCCTAAAGCATTGCTTGACTATACTTCCTGCAGTCCCTTTTACCCTGAATTAGCCGTCCTACAATTGTGTGAATCTTGGGGACTCACAATTTCCTAGCAGGATATGGAAGCACCCTCTCTAGCCTGATAATCATCTGTAGTGGATGGGGAATGGAGGGAGAGGCAGGGAAAATGTCTGAATTTTGTTAGTAGAATTGGGGAAGGAAGGGAGAAACAGCAGATGGGAAGTTGCTCACAGACCTGTGCATGGCTGCTTTGGTTGCAACTCATTCTTTGTAACGGCCACTAGTTTCCCATCACTAATGGACTGTATCCTTTGCCTTGCATCTTACTTGACCTTTGGACATCTGAGACGCTCTGATCTCCTTCATCAAGGCAGCAAAAAACTTTTCTGCTCTGTTCCCTTTTTATTTGCAGAAACAAGCTTTCCTAGTATCTGTGGGCTGAAATCTCTTCAGTAGCATTTCTTTAAAAGCAGTCAGGAATTATAAATGAGTATATAAATGTACATGGCATTCTGCCTGCCTTTGCAGTACTGCATCCTCACCTGACTCCTATGCTGTTACCCACAACCTGGCTGTTCAGTAGTTTGTTTTGTCATCCTTTACAGAGGGAGTTCATTCAGTTCTGCAAAACCTTGTATAGCATGTTCCATGAAGATCCAGAGGAGAATGATTTATATCAAGCCATTGCCACTGTGACCACACTGTTACTTCAGATTGGAGAAGTAGGACAAAGAAGCATAAGCCTGGGGAGTGGATCAGACGAGTTCACCGAGGACTTGCAGCCCGAGGCCTCCACTTCAGACCAGGATGCTGTTTTTACTGACACTGTGAAGACCCCTCAGAAAGACTCTCAACCTTCTCCTGTGACTGAAGGGGACTGGACTGTCTCTTTTGAACATATTTTAGCATCCCTCTTGACTGAACAGTCATTAGTTAACTTCTTTGAAAAACCCTTAGAACTAAAGCCAAAACTTGAGAATGCAAAATTAAATCAATATAGTCTCAAAACAAATGGAATGAGCTGCCAGTCACGGGGTGAACACACAAAACTAAACACACAGTCATAGCAAACCCATCAAAACCAAAATGCACTGAAGTAATGCCAAAGCACATACTGTAAAAGGCTTTCAGTTAGCAGTGGACTTTTGATAAACAATTTATTGGTCTGTGGTTTTCAGTTTAAGAGCTTTAAAAGCTAAAAGATGTATATGTTTGTTTTGTGCCATTGATTTATTAATTGTGTTCTTGTTTTGAATGTCAAAGCAAACATCTGTCTACAGTGTGAAGACACAGAGTCCTCTTCTGCACTGGGAGAGCAGAGGCTGGCTCCTGGTGTTCTTTGGAACAGAGGAAAACACTTCTCAGCTACTGTCTGCATTTGAGTTGCCTTTTTTGCACTAATACTGAAAACTGTTTCAATGCTGGTAATTGAAACTATTTTAATATATTTGATTGTATTCCAATTTGTATGTCTTGCTGAAATGTTAAGTGTACATGGACTGTGCTTCTGACGTTGGTCTGTGAAAACATGCACTTTTCAATAAACCCTTTTTATACTAGACTTGTATTAACAGTATTTGTTGATTTACGGAAGCAAGTGCCTTTGGTCCCTACTTCATTAAACTAGTTCCCTGAGCTAGCATGCTCACAATTAATTCACGGTTTGGAAGGCCATGTTTCAGTGCAGAGCACAGACCTGCTTCAGAAAAGCTCACCATTTCTGCCTAGGAGACTAGAGGGGCACTAAATACAGGGAGCTTACTTTACCTGTAAGAGATTACATGTATGAAATATTACTCTAAGTTTTGGGGGGCTGGGGTTGTTGTTATTTTTTTTTTTAAACAAACTTGTCCTTAACTTAAAATAGCTGTGTAGTGGCTCTTAATTCCCACAGGAATAAACAAAACCACTAGGACTTTGCCACCCCCATAGGAACACCCACATATCTTCCTTATTCCACATCTAACAGAAGTCTACAGTACCTTTAAGAAAGTTATACACCCTTATATACAAGCCCAAAGAAAGTAAGATACTTTAAGATGTTGTCACCTGTTCAACTCAATGCTTCATGAATGAGAGCTTGAAGAGATTGGACAATAAAAGAACCAATTTAGGAATAAACTTTCTTTTTATCCTTTTATTGTAATGCAAATCAGTTTAATTTTCATCCACATTGACTGTCTGTAGACCTGCAAAACAAGAAACTGTATCACCACCTACTGCTAGGACAATTCCTCTTATGTATATGCAAGTCTTCACAAGAAAGCACACCTACAGTTTCAAAGCTAGTTTGGTGATCGCCTTCTGGAAGAGCATACTACACAGACAAGTACTTCACCGAAAGCTTTGTGTTAAAATAATTCTGCAAGTAAGACAATTCTCAGATGACAAGCAAAAAAAGCTCAACCTGCTCGAGCTTTTGACATCAGAGGATGGACTTTATATGGGAGAACAAACTTTTAAAACTACCCTAACAACTATGACTAGTGGGTTTTATTCTCAAAATTTAAATGATAGTTCACTAAATCCTGTATTTACTTTTTAATGCTGATCAGGCAAACTAGCAGCCGTGTTCTCTACAGCAGAGCTAGTTTAAGCCAGCAGTACGGCCCTTTCAGCATGCTTTTCATCTGAATTTTGCACTGCAAGAGGAGCTGTCCCACTTTGCTACTTGCTCAGAAAACACAGCATGGAGGAAAAGAGACGGCATGCAACCTCACCTTTGAATGTTGTGACTGGTACATAGGTAACCAGTGTGTATAGCTTGTTTGGTGAATCTTCATCCTCATTGCGCTTTCTGGACAAACGGACACGGATACGGTAAGGAACATTCCTAAAATAAAGACAACAGATTAATTTTCAGTAAAATATGTACAGAAACCTGATAATCCATAGAAAAGCTCATTGCTCCATGATTACTCTCCCACCCTCCTTCAAATTCTTAAGCTTTTGTCTATTTGTGCAAAGACATGATGAGTTAATTCTGTTTCTATCTCAGCATAACAAGACAGAAATCCTGTGCCTTAGAGGAACTTTTTTGGTTTGTTTTAGTTTTGTTCAGCAGCTAAGATTTAACCAGGCCTTGAATAAGATGTTCCCATAATCCAGTGGGAGCATAAAGTCAGAAGTGGATCTTCTGTCCACTAATGATTGAGGAAATACTATGAAGATGGTCATGAAGCACAGTGTGGATGATCAGCAAGCAGCTGTTACTAACATTTCTTACTAGAACAGAAAAGAGTGAGGAAAAAAAACCTCAACAATCTGTTCTGAAAGCCTGAGGCCCCTGTCAAGAGTCAGAGTACTGTCCAATCTGTATGCCAGAAGTCACACGGAAATTCTAGTGAGCAGCAGACCTGAATAAAGATCTTATTCACAAGCATACAACTGATCCAATATTTCTTCCTCACAAAGCATGTAGAAATACAACTAATTCACTTAAGACGATTTTGACAGCAAGTCTGTCCTGGGCTCAGCTGTAGCAGTCATTTTTCTCCTTCTTAGTAGCATGGAACCTAGGACAAAGTCAAAGCTTAGCATCCTCCACTAATACTGCCCAAAATACGCTGCTGAGGGAGGGCACAAAGTAATTCATCCACATCATTTTTCAAGTAATCTCTCACCTCAAATGAGCTTGAGAGTTTGGGAAACTCCTGCTCAGAGTATTTTGCTTCATAGCATATGTGAAGTAACTTCCGGCTTGCTGTATGTTCCCAAGAGCATACTTACTAAATCAAATGGATACAGTAAGATGTGGGAACTTGCTCTGACTTACTCCCTTCTTGAAACAAGTCAATAGCATTTTTCACTACTTTACTTAGGTCACTATCATAGTAGCTGGCCTCTTGATTTTAGCCTCTCCTCATCCTTCCAGAAGAAGGTATTTTACTTTGCATACATTATTTATTCTAACCAGTGAAAACTGCAGTTTTGACACTGGAAAGACTCCGTTCTCCACAGACCACACTTCTACTAGCTAAGTCTTGATTAGCAGCCTCACTACTAAGCTCTGAAGATACACTGTCAGCAGTTCAATTGCTACTTCTTCATTGCCTATGAAGAGGAACATCTCAACAGGAAGGACAAACAATCCCTGCCCAGAAGGCCCAGAAACTTAGTCCCATCTTCCCACCCTATCTTTGAAGGAAGGGGTGGCCTAAGCACACAGCTCCGAGTAAAGTACTGTAAATATGTCAAGAGGCTAGACTTGGGAATATAACTCCTAGGAGATGTGGTTTAAAACAAGGGCTCACGTGTATCTAGTGTATCACTCACAGTATTAATCCCCACCAGTTAATCTTTTACTATGGTTTAAGACATCCCCCTCCTCACAGGAGTCTTTTTGGACTATCTTCGCACATGTCAAACACCACATCAGCTGCCTGTGTAGCACTGATTTAACAGACTACTTTCTGCCCCCTAAATTACTTAGCATTTGTACTCCCACAAGATTAATGTCCCTATTTAAAATACACCTTTTTCCTTTTGTAGTATTTCAATATCAATTCAGCATGCTTTGAAACCTAAACCTGTTTAAACACATAACACAAATCCCAGGTACTTATCATGGACTGCAGGTATCACTAAAAATACACGTTTCTAAAAACTGCTGCAACAGGGATTGGGATACTACAGTATTACAATACTCCAGTCCTTTCCTTCCCCCTGCCTTCTGCCCCCAGGCCCACATTCCTTCTTTCCTTTGCTTTATTCTTGTTAGAGGTAGAAGGAAGTTCTTTTCAGTGCCAGAGTTTACTACAGCTTTGCTACAAATATGCTGAGGGAGCTGACCAGAAACACAGAGGTTACAGAAAGCTTAGCCTAGCATGCTGCAAGAAAGCAAGCATTTGCACAGAATATGCAAATACTGGAAGTCATACACTTTTTTTTTTTTTCCAAGTCCTGTACCTCCACATACAAGGTTTTTCCTCACCCAGTAAGGAAAGTTGCAGAAACCTACCTTATTCCTTTAGCCCAGACTGCTTTGTTCAACCTGGTGTCAATGCGAACATCAGGAGTACCCATTTCCTTCATCGCAAATTTGCGGATCTCCTTAAGAGCACGCGGTGCTCGTTTCTTGAAGCCCCTGGGACAAACACAAAAGCCATTTCTTTAACTTTAGGACAAGCTGCACCATAATATGACTAGACTTTTACTCTGGTAGATAGCTGCTAACCTTAATACCTATGCCTAATAGAAACCACACACAGAATCATAGAATGGTTTGAACTGAAGGGACCATAAAAAACTCATCTAGTTCCAACCCTCCTGCCATGGGCAGGGACACCTTCCACTTGAGCAAGTTCCTTGAAGTCCCACCCATCCTGGCCTTAAACACTTTATGTAGAATAATTTCAGTTAAAATTTTGCAACTGCCAGATTGCCCAGATGTCTTATTCAAACAGGATGACATTAAAACTTATCACAGTATTACTTTAGAGATCAGAGCTTTCACAAATACTCTGAGTAACAAGCTGATGAGAAAAGCAGTACAATAGTAACATAAACTTGACAAAACTGTATCTGTATTGAAATAAACAGCAGAATGAAAATGATGCTATTCTAAGTAACAGCTTCTGCTAAACAGTATTTGATCACAGAATCAGAGAATAGTTAGGGATCATCTGGTTACAACCTCCCTGCCATGACCAGGGGCACCTCACACTAGACCATGTCACCCAAGGCTCTGTCCAGCCTGGCCTTGAACACTGCTAGGGATGGACCATTTACCACTTCTTTGGGCAACCTGTTCCAGTGCCTCACCACCTTGACAGTAATGAACTTTTTCCTTCTATATAACCTGAACTTCCTCTGTTTAATTTTAAACCCATTCCCTCTTGTTCTATCACTACAGTCCCTGATGAAGAGTCTCTCTCTTGCATCCTTGTAGGCCCCCTTCAGATACTGGAAGGCTGCCAATGGTTACTTTCTTCACATTAGTATGACTGCACCAATGCCACCATGAGCACAGCTTTGGGTTTTTTTACAAGTATAGCTTGTCTCATGCTTGTTACGGCCAGATTCTGCACAACCAGACATTTAGACTAAAAGTTTCAGCTGCACTGTGAGTGTTATGCCATATGTATTATTTCCACACTGTGACATGCAACTAGTGCCAGGAGTGTCTGAGGTCCCACAGTGGGTTCTAGTTAGGGTTATTTGCACACTGCTGTTGATATTTAGTGCTGGAAATTGGAAGTGTGTGAGTGATTACAACTGAGACAAGCATTAAACAACAAATATTGCACCCCTAAGTACTTCATGGCTAAGAAGAGGATAATCCAAAAAGAAAAGTGGATAGCAGGATCATCAGTATTAAAAATAGGCTGAATTGCCATAAGCAATCAACAGGCAAGGCCAGAACATCTTATTGCCATTTAAATGTGCCACTGCCTCCCAACATAACCCATGGGTTTGCTATACTGTCTTGTTTCTCTCTTATTCTAAGCCAGCTTCAGCATTTTCACCAATTATTTTGATTTGGATATAGTCTTCTTCCATGTGACTGCAGCCATACACAGAGAATCAAAGGGAGATGCATCTTCTCAAGAAGTACTCTCAAGCACTTTACCACTACATGGTTGTATGAAGTTCAACATTTTGTCAGGTAAAAAGTTACTCTTGTCTGCACACAAGTATTGTTTCAAGCAAGTCATACCCCAATTTACACCTCACACAATTTAGTGATAAGCACAGAGCCAATCATCTGATGACAACAGTATTTCATTTCCAAAACTTGCTATAGTGGGCTAAACTTCACCTGGGACAGATGACAACCTGTGCACAGAGGTGAACAGAGCTAACTTTAAATTAAATCCAGGAACACCCACAGAAAAAGAAATCTGCTTGTTCCCAAAAGCCACATCTTAACTGGAGGTCTGCACAGGTAGAGAGCTGCTTCCTCAGGACACAACTGTAGCACAAGCAACTAAGCTGTCACACATTAACATCAGTGACAGTAACGATTTGTTCTCTGCCATTTAAAACCAACTTCCAAACACTATTTTTATGTAAGGCCTGTATCACTGATAAAAAGAACTTACACGCCATGGATCCGCTTGTGAATGTTGATGGTATATTCTCTAGTTACCACCTCATTGATGGCAGAGCGTCCCTTCTTTTTCTCACCACCTTTCTTTGCAGGAGCCATCTGAGCAACGCTGAAAAGCATCCATGTACGCATCAAACACAGACCCAACTTCTCCCGTCACCTTCCCTCCCAGCTCCTCACAAGCAACACCACTCCTACGTTCAGAAACTTAACTTTAAGCTTAATTCATCCCCGGGGTCGCAGCAGTTGCAGATTTTATACAGCAACTTTCCAGCATCACAAATGCTTTACTTTCATCTCCCTGACAGAAACACGAAACAGACCTGAGACTGACTACATGCCATGAAGACTAAGCTCCTGGACAGCACCAAGCGCCCCTGAGACCACCCCGTCCTGCCGCAGCATGTCCAAGTCCCTTCCTGCTCCGACGCGACCCAGGTGGGTAGCTCAGCCCGTTCCGAAAAGGAGACGGTGGTGACAGGCTCCTTCCAAGCTCTGACAGCGGTCTACAGCTTTCTCCTCCCTCACCAAGGCCCAGCACGGGTCGTAAACCCCCACAAAGACCCCACAAACCTCCCCGAGCCCGCGCCTTGCCCGCCTCAGCGGAGGCCTAAGGGAGCGGAGGGGATATAGGGAGATGGGCCCCATCCCCATCGAATACGAACCGCCGAGAGGCACCACTCGGTGCCTCCCGCACCGGAACGTCTCCCCACGCCGAGCCAGGCGAAGGACTCCCCCGGCGGCGCGATCCGCAAGGCAGATGGACGCGGATTGAGCAAACGGGCCCCGGGCCGCCACTCACCCCGCCCGGGTACAGGCCGGAAAAGACCGCGCACAGCACTGTGGGAGCCAAGAGTCCTTCCGGGATGCGGCTGAGGCGGACTGCGCCGCCGCCGCCGGGAAGCGCTTAGGCCGGGCGGGCCGCGCATGTGCAGGGTGTCAGCTCGTCTCCAGGTGCCCCGTGGGTAGCTGCTGTGCCGTGCTGTGGCAGCGGGTTGTGCGAATGGGTGTCTGGGGTGTTGGTTCCGGCTCTCCGGACCGGAGGGCTGCTTCTGGAGAGCCTGAGCCGACATCCCTGAGGGTATCGGGTGTCCCTCAGGTGGCCACCTGCCTACGTGCCATCGCTGTTTAGGCACCTTTGTTTTAGGTGGGGTGTTGTGTGGGGAGCTCGGCTTCAGATGGGGTGGTGTGCTTCTAGCAAGCAGCTTTTCCTGTTCAGGTGCGCAGCTCCTGTGTTTGAGGCAGAAGCTGGGTGTTGCAGTGGCCCTGCCTCCACAGCCCTGGGAGGACGAATGCCCCAGGTTGAGACAGCGTGTCCGAGCAAGCTTGGTTTTGGCTATAATGAATCACAACAGCCCAGGTCAGTGAAGAGGATTGACACTGCGTTGCGTTCAACAGGGAACAAGTATAATAATCCAAACCCAGAATGCGTGTACAGGGATGAAATGAGGGGGAGCGTGAAAAACCAGGTACTAACATAAATCTGTTGTTGTAAGTGCTCTGTACCTGTCCAAACAGTGTAATAAACCAGCTTATTAGAAAACCCCACCCTATTTACAGCTGCTCCCTGTTAGCAGCTTACAATACTGCTGGTTTTAGAAACATAAGTGTTTGCTCCGAGGCTGAGCTTGGTTTGGACATACCAGTTTGCAATCGTAAGAGATGTAGGTGTATTATAACTATCCCTGAGAGTAAAAGAAATCCCTCAAGGGATTTTCTCTTCCTGTGACTTCCATCATAGTAGTTCCATCATAGCACTACCAAGTGCTGCTTCTGCTGTGCTTTCTGCTGAGGTGCTCATGTTCCTTCATTACCTTTTGCCTGCTTTCATTGACTGGCCTACAGATTTATCCTCCCATTTCCCAGAATAAGCCCATACAGGACTTGGATGGAATTTAAGAAGTTAGACTCTAACTTAGCCAGCTGGCCTTTGCTTAGTTTTGTCTATAGTTAAAGGAAAGAAAGAGGTTCCCTCAGACATGAAGTGGAAGCACCGTGGGGTTTAGCTTCTTTAAACTTCATCTGGTGGGGTCACTCTTGCTTCACTGAGTGCAAGCAATAAGCAGGCTAACCCAGCCTAGTACCTAAAGTTAGCCGTCTTTCTCAGAGACCAGATCTGATATCTAAACACTGTTTAGAAAACAGATATTTGATTCCCTGATCTTCTCTCACTGAAGTAAGCTAATATGGACTGAAATGCAGGTGTACTGATCAGTGATACCAGCAAGTCTTGCTGTGGAAGGTAGTGGAGTCATTTTGCCAGTGGGTTTTCTTCAGATTTACAGCTTTTTCTGAACTAAGGCCACATAAACCTTTATAATTTCTCAGAAAGTTTGCTTTACCATTTCCTTTTCTCAGTCCAATTATCTCCATTGTTCCTCTATGGCATGAAAACCATAGCTGAACACCCACGTGTGATCTGGTAGGAAGAGCAGCATGGTCTGCACCCTTTTGAAGGTAACACTGACTTGGATGGCTGCAAGCTGCCCTGGGGGCCATCCCCTTTCAATTTTGCCGTGGTGAATGAAAACGCTGCTTTGCTGAGCTATCTGCTTGGTTCTGTGTTGGAGGTTGCTGCTCCTGCCACAGTTTCAGCAGAGGGAAATCAGGCCTGTACCTTCGCTGCTCCATTCTGCAATATATTTGATTTTAATGTGAAGAAGAATCTGCACAGGGATGCCAAAGTGGAAACTAGACTGTCTACAGTGTGGGCATGGTAGCAATTCCAGCAGAGATGCGTCACAAAACTCAGGAGTGGTCATGGGTCAAAGCCCTGGCATGGGCTGGGTCAAACCATTCTTTAAACCATCTGTTTTGTCCTAAGCTAAAACTGGTTGGAAGTGCAGAGCTGCCGAAGGTCTTTTACAGTTCTAAAGGAGCTTAGAATGAGCCATCTTGACTAGCAGCTAATGTAACTTCTTGAACTACCATTCTCATTGTCTGTGCTGTCACGAAGATCCCATAGGATAATACTTGGTTTTGTTAACTGCGTACCAAACACCATGCAAGGTTATGGATAATGTTAAAAATCTGAAGTTACTCACATAGTTGAACAGCCAGAGGAAAATGTGTGCAAGTCCTGCAGTAAAGCCTTTTGTCTATTTTATTTTATTCTACAAATAAAGACAACTGTCCATCATTAATGGAAAAAAATAATAGTTTGAGTTGTATATAGCATGAAACAGTAGTTCCCTTCACAAAAACATTTCTAGTTCATTAGTTTATTACAAAATATCCACTCACAAAAAAGCACAAGCACAATCTTTATACTTGTGAAATGAGTTGATATTTCATATACAAAATAATTTCCACATAGTTCCATATAATTTTATTTTATATAGAAATAGGTCATTATTACAACAGCTGTACAATACACTACTTTTTATTTTATAATTACATAAAATCTTTCTTAGAAACATATCAACAGAAAACATACAAAAAAAGCGAAAAGTGCATTTCTTTTTTTTTTTTTCCCCAAAGGAAAATTCAATCCTAAATGTTATAATGAAAGAGATATGTAATAGTCTGCAGCATCCCAAGTCAGTGGGCCAAAACACAGTGCATATTTCTCCGAGACTTGCAGTGGGTAAGTTCAGGTTGAAGAAGGATCCATGCTGTACTATCAGAGAGTTGCATGATTGTGTTCACAATCTGAGTTTTCCTTTGCAATCACAGTTCAGACAGAAAACAGTCCAGTGTGGGTTGTGGGTTTTTTTTGTTTGTTTTTCAGTAATGAAGAACAGTTAGGGTAAGCTGCATAATACTCTTCAGATTCTAAAACAAGGGTTATGAGCTATAGACCATCTTCACCAATGACTGGGCTTTCTCCTCCATTGGATGTGCTAATTTGGCCACAAGAATAAGGAAACAAACTTCTCTTTACAGAAAGTGCCTAGGTTTTGTCCTCTGTGCAGTTGTGCAAAATAATAACAATAATCATAATAAAAATAATCTCTTGTTCTCTCCTCAATAGACCTTTGATGCAGTGCTTTTCATACTCAAAAGAAGAACTGAAACAGTGAAGGCCAAGTACCTCATGAGTCTGTCAACAGTCTTTTGGAATTGCCAGATAGCTTTCAGAGCGACACGCCAAGACTGAACGCCTCCTCCCATGCACCCAAGAATGATGGAGGCTGCATAGGATAGTGTTCCTTTTCATTTTGCTCTCGCAGTACATACTGTGCTCACGAGACAGCACAAATTGAATCCAGCATGCCACAAATGCATTGTCCGTGGCAGTCTGCACTCTGTGACATACTTCTGTCATAGAGCTTTGAAAGAAATGCTTGTGCAAAAGAAGTACAAAGTCATTCTCTTCTGCCCCATGTGCCCATTGGTTAAAGCTAATCGTGCATTGATTGTGCTGGTGGGACTCTATCGCAGTGGCTGTGGTAAATTTGATGATTCTGGTAAGCTATTGCTTCTTCTTGATGTTAGTTGTTGCTGCTGTTGCTGCTGCTGTGTCTGGTGATACCCCATATTTCCTTGCTGTGGCGAGTAAGGTGGCAGGAGCAAAGAATCAGGTTGCTCATTGTGCAAAGAACTTGGTGTTTGCACCTACAGATAAAATAAAATTCATCGTGGTGTTCGATTCTTTCACATGTTAAAGATCTTCGTCCTCAATGTACAGGGTGCTTCAAAATACTACTAGTTTGCTGGCTTTTATTTCTGGGGCTGTTTCATGTGTGGCTAGCTTACCTAATGCTAGAAGGAATGGACATAAATAGCAACAAAGAGCATTACAATCAGGCATTGAGAAAGATTTTCTAATAGGAGTGCACTGCCTAGGATTTGCAGGTTATCCTGAAAAGCCTGTTTAGGAACAGGGTGGGTGAAAGTGCCAGAAATGACACAGATGATAGAAGTGAAACAGAAATGAAACAGAGAATCCCTGTGTACCTCACACTGTCCCTTCTAGCCCTTCCTTTTTGTGAGTTTATAGTAGGGTGTGAACTTGCAGATGTGAAGTCAATGTGAATTTTGCAGATGCTTTTATTGGGAACGGCATCTCCCATAGTTTTTCATTAATTCTCAGCTATGATAAGGGTTTCATTTCAATAACAAGAGTTTAATCATTTGAGGTTGATGATACTCTTTCAGTGATACCACTGGATATGTGATCAGGTTTTATAGACTCAGTTCAGCTCTTTTGAATTAATAGAGACAACTCATTTCCCTCTTCCCCTTTAGAATGTGTTGAATTAGGTCAAAAAGAAAGTATTTTTACATCTTCAAATCACCTGGTTCTTCTAGGCAATGTGCTTCAGCTTATCTTCTTTGCCTTGTGGAGCTGAGATGTTTAAATATATTAATTTACTGCAGGGATCCATACCTGATCCAGATCTCATTTTATGTCAATACTGGTAATTAAAAATCATTTTTCTGACTTGTAAACTAAGCAAATTTACCAAATAAAGAGTACAGAATAAATCCTAAGGCAGCAATTTTCTCCATCTAGAAATACACTTTAAATATATCCAGGATAATCTGATTATGTTTCCAATGCACAGAATCAGTAATTTTGCTTTTAAATATTCTGATGGTTCTCACTGCTCCCTTGCTGTACTGGAAGGGTACATGGCACTGTGGCAGTGTCTCGCATGTTTCAGTACCTCTAATTTCAGGCTCCCACTGAAACCTGAGGCCCTGTTTGGGGCCTTCTTTGTCCTACCCTACCTGCAGGTAGCGTTGTTGCTGATGCTGTTGGTGCTGGAGTTGCATAGGTGGCAGAGAGGATGGCTGGGAAGGAGGTGTAGTGGCGAACCCTTGGTTTAACACTGCTTGTCCCATCAGTATGATTGGAGAGCTGCTGCTGGAAGTCTGCACTTCCAGACTTTGAAAGATTTGTTGGGTTTGGGAATACCTGT